CAATTTCTTTAAGTCTTCGTCACCTATTGGAGGTTTGTGTTCAGTTTTCCCCAGACCCTTCTTTATCAACTCTTCGCATCGTTCTTCATAAACTTGGTTGGCTTCCTTGAACACCTTGTCCTTTAAAATATCGATATTAAGCGCTTGCTTGAAGTGTCTACACAAACCAAATCGCAAAGCAGTAAGCGTGCTTTTGGTATAAAGCTGTCCATCTTTCTTTCTCACTTCGACGTAGAAACTTGGCAAAACCGTCGCCAATTCCTTGGCAGTGCAAGGGCTTTGAATGCCTTTCTCTTGAAGAAACGCTTCAAAAACTAAGCGACAAGCTTTGGTAGATTTTTGGGTGCTTTTACTGTCTTTATCATTGAGTAACTCGGAAATTTCTTCCTCGGCTAAACTTTTAAACCTGCTGTCCGCCATTTTTACGCTCTTCAGCTAGATGACGCCAGCGCGCCCAGTTTCAGTACATTATTTGACGAATGACGTCACCGTGAACTTCCAAATTTGGTCAACACTAACTGTGATTGTACTATGAAGATTCGAAACAGAGCAATATTTTTAAAGACCTCCGCCCTAGAATGTTTTATTCAATTAGGTACTCAGTGCAGTTGTTTAATCAGGGATGCCATTCCCTTATATTAGTAATAATTTGATTAAACTTAATAATTGTACATAACAATTATGCAAATTTCATATTGATGCTACTGCATCTGAATAAAGTGAAATAAGGTCAGGTTTTCACCCATTCAATTATTTCAGTTTTTGAGTATATGTTTATACCTTTTTCCTCCTTCATATATTGAAGTTGTTCTTTGGTGTTTTCAAGGTCACTGCGCATCCTCTCAACAGCTCCTTTCTTTATCTTCACTTCTTCATTCAAGAGAGAGCACTTCTGCTTCTCCAAGCTGAGGTTGGATTTCAGTTCACTCACAAGCGTATCAGATACTGAGAAAAACATGTGATATATTTTATCGCTGAGTTTAATGGAGTGGAACCCTCTTAACACTGTTGGGCAAAATTCTGGTTAGTAGTAATTTCAAGGTGGCCATGTTCAAGTGGATAAACAAGTGGCACTTTCCATTCAACTAAAAATTCTGGTTTGAAATTTCAGAAATTCCACGTTTCCAATGCAATGGTACCAGGGTTCATACAAAAAATTGCAACCATTTTTCAAGGACTTTTCAAGGACTTTTCAAGGACCACATTAGATTTTCAAGGACAACCTACTAGGAATATAATTTCACAGATTGTACAAAAATGCATATTCCCAGTATATTCTAGTAAGACTTTAAGGTTTTAACTGTTTGCTTCACCAAATTCTCAACATTTTTCAGTTCACTTGTCTTAAACTGATAGTTAATTATTGCATAAAACATGGAGCACTTTATGTAAATGACCTTTACATTCACTGAGCTATGATTTATATTCTGTCTTGGACAACCAAAAAACATCAAAAAATTCTTTCCAGGCCACTGCATTCAAAGTTGAAGAAAATTCAAGCTCTTTTCAAGGACTTGCACAGAAATTTAAGGACTTTTCAAGGAAAAATGGAATTCAAGGACTTTTCAAGGACTTCCCCTAAAATTCAAGGACTTTTCAAGACTGTGCGAACCCTGGGTACATTCCAGTTGCACAGACCCAATCAAACCCAAGCCGCCGAACGTTTGGTTGTTGTTCTTGTAAGCAGACAACAATTTTGTCAAATGGAAGGGGACATTTTGGTCCGACCAACTGAAATGACCGGGCCGGTCAAAGTGGACCATCTTCAAAGGTGTTTCCAAATATTCCGGTCAGACCAAAGCAAAATGGTCTGTTCCATTTGATTTCTAACTGAAATTTCTGGAATTTTGGGCTAAATGAAAAGTGCCTTAGGCTGTCGGAAAAGAAAAACATAGTGTTTGGTACTTTAATGGGTGCAAAGGATTCGGTCATTGTAACAACTTGGTCGTGAAAGCAGGGTTCTTTGTCTTCTTTTAGTAACATCACAAAGACTTTCAAGGAATGTTTGATCCTTTGTCTCAAAAACTTTTGCTCAGCAGTGATAACAATAAAAGTGAGTGAGAGAATTGTCTAGCATTGACAGCCTGCAAGCAAAAGCCTGAATTGAAGGGGACAGGAAAGGCAAAGACGATGCAGACAACTTCCTTATTCATTTCTCCAAGCTAAGGATAGTGTGCAATAATGGTGGTTTTCACAGTAAAGGTGGTTTATCCCTCTCAGACAGGTTATCCATCAGATGATACATGCCAGACAGTTAATCGAACATTTTCATGTCAGTGAAAACAAAACAGTTTTCATTCTGGGGAAATAATCAGTCTGACTTTATTTTTACATTTATATGTCTTTAGACAGATTAGATGGATTATCTGATAATGGCCAATGATACAATCATAAAATGTATTTATAAATCTAACCTTTCACATTCCTCTCTGCATTCTTTTGAGCCTTCAAAAATGTGTTTTGTAGTTGCTTCATCGCATCCAGAAGGGTGAAATATTTATTTTTGTAAATAATCTCATCATCAGACTAAAAGGACATTAAAAAAAAATAGGAATTGCCACAATTTGTCAATAACTTGAAGTTTTAACATAATGAAACCTTTCTCCTCAGGCAAACTGATTTTTGTATCTTTCTCACAGGTGGCAGATCTAGATCTAGGTGGGGTGGGGGAGAGGGGGGGTTACTGGTTCCAAAAGATAAAAAATAATCTTAATGCCTAGAACATATTATAGTGGTTCAGTGACTAAGTGCTTTGAAATGAAACCAACATTGTTATCACTGAGGATTGCTTGAAAGACCTGATTAGTCGATATTCCAGGAAAGGTGGAGATTATATTCTTGCTATTACACATGAGTTTTGATAGTAAGCAAAAGTTGGACCCTTCCTATCAAAAATAATCTTGATCCACTTGTGCTCAAGGTGATGAAACAATAAAATCTTGACTTACACTCACATTCTGTTCATCCTCTTGTGTCTGTGGACATCTGCTCATTCTCCAAAGAATATCCTCGTCGCTATCATGCCCTTCTTCCCTTACCCTAGAATTAAAACTGACCTCCTCTAAGGGAGATGTCAAAGGAGACTTTCCATTCACAGTGTCACTTGCGTAATGCCATTCTCTGTTGTTCTTTTTACACTGGCTGCGGCGTAAAGCACTGTAACTCCTGATTCTTGCTGCAATACAGCCAGCTGGAGTCTTTGAAATTACCTCATGATCACCACAGGTAGCATTCAAAGCAGGTGATCTATAATCAGCATTTTGACTTTCCTGGTGATTCTCCTTGTTTATGTGCTTCTTGCTGGAATTTAACAGTACTCTCTTATTTTCTTTGATGTTTCGTGTGGGTATTCTGTTTGTACGACATCTACCAGATTTTACATTGTTGCCCTTGTTTTCTTTTTGATTGGCTGTAATATTGCTGATGTCTTTGAGGGATGAGTTGTTAGGACTGTTTGAAGAAGTTCTGGAAGATCTTTTAGTTGCAGCAATCTAATACAAGAACAAAATAATGATCATTACTTTCTGAAAATATCCTATCAAGACTAGTTTCTGTCCCTTTGAAACTACCCCATCTAACTCACACAAAGTCCTTGAGAGGTAGGGGTACTTCGTAATAATGAGGCCCTGGGTGGCTGTTATTATGACTGGACTGACACATGAGAGGGGAGGACTCCCTCAAGGGCCTTTGCAGGGAGGCTCTCGCTGTGAGGCTTCACATAAAACTTTGTCGAGTACCCCCACCCAGTATTTTTAATAGAGTTTTAAGTAATGATCCGGGTAATGTGGATAGCGGTTTCTTTTGTTATGCGGCAACGGTGCTTTCCCCACATAGGAATGTTCTCATTTTTACACAGAGAATGCATAAACCTACATGAAGGCCGTTTATGCAATAAAATGCATTTACACTTTGAAAGGGTGTTTTTTTGTGTTAAAAGATTTTGACCAATCACAAGAGTTGAAAACAATAGCCAAGAAAAGTTTACAATTTTACATGTTCCCCACATAGGATTTCCTTGTTATTCAAACTGAGACCAGATTTTGTTATATGGAAGATGGTTGGAAAGTAAGGATGAATGTATGTACTGCTTTATGAAGTTTTGTTAACTTTTGCTGTTTAAGCCAATCAGAAGTAAGTACAGACAATAGAAAAGTTAGCACCTTTTTTGCATTCCAACATGTTCGTTGCCGTTGTTGCTATCGTTCTTATCTGGACCGTTTCTTAAATATTAGTTGAAGAAATATTAAATATTAATTTTTAAATATTATTCAAATGATTTATTTTTTTTGTTTTACTTGATTTCAAAACATGATAAAATGACTGAAGCTGTCTCAGACGGGCCGGGGTCTGTATTATGAAGAATTACCAACAAAACAATCTGTTATAAAGTATGGTCTCTAGGAGGCCATTAGGGTTCTGCTGGGGACAACAAACTCATTTTAGTAACATGCCACCGGCATAGCCTGCGGAAACAGACGTATTTGCGGTCGTCGCTTCTCTACACCTCTGTGTCCGCAGCCTGGTTGTGTTATGTGTTATGAAAAGTACTCAAGGATCGGAAGGGTTCTGAAAATTTTAGATAGAATTGATGAAGTACATTGAGACCTGTCAGTGAACGTACACCTAAACATCGAGAATTCCTTTCCTCACCTTAGTTGGTGGCTCAAGATCTTTTACTTCGTTTTCTTGTTGTAGTATCTTTCGTTTCACTGAAGAGCGGGTTGCATACCGACGTCGAACAACATTTGTAGTCGCTGGAGTTTCTTCTTCGATTCGCGGTTTTTGCTTCGAACATGATCGGGTAACGACAGGCATTATTCCTCTACGTTTGAAATCTCCGCCTCTTAACCATAAATAAGCTAAATTTCTTCATCAAAAGTCAAAAGTTTTCGAAAATATTTGAATTTTACCTCCAACGGCGCTTATATCCCATATGTCATTGCGCTCTTCAAGGAACTGTCACATTTATTACTTTTAGTAGGGTAGGGTGAGTTGCGTCACTTTTATTGAGTATGCTCCATGTAGTGTCAAACAAACTGCCCTAATTGATCTGCTTTTGCGATAACTTATATTGCAATTTAAATTAATATCTGTTGATTTAGGTTTAAAGAGCCAAACTAAAGTTGAAGTATGCCCACGTGTTACTGATTAGCCCTGGACTACCCTGGTGACGACAAAGTGGTCCATTTCAGTTCTTCGAGAATATGTTCATGTTGTTTTCTGCAGCCTGTTTTCGTAGTTCAGGTGTCAGACTTTTGCGTGCTTATGGTAACGCGATGACTTCGGATATTTCAGACAAGGTATTTTCTATCACTGGTCTTTCATGATTACATAATGTTTTTGAAGATTAGTTATTCTTGGGTATGTTTTACGGCGAGGTTATTTTTGCAGATGGTACAGAACGCCGAACGACTGCCGATCGCTGAATGTCACTCTAAAGTAGCTAAATGTTGTAAATTTATAGAGTTGAGAAACGGATTATATCAAATTCCAGTCTGGGTGATTGTGCCGAGTGAACTGAACCTGGCCTTGATTCATTCAGTTTCTTGTCAAATATCACTGACCTTCAGCAGGGCTGTCAATTCCCACCCCCCACGACAACGTCATCAAATATTGAGAATTGATAGGAATGATAGATGACGTCATATTACACGACAAATGACGTCATTCGTGCCGACGGTTATAGCACATAAACAGTTCTTATTTAGCCACATTATTGTTGAAATTACAGAGGCATACCAGAATTTATGAGGAAACATTCCATGTTTTCAGTAGCTCAAACAATGCAAAATATTTGAAATTTTATGATTGGAAAGTCGAGTCTACAAGGAATAGCAACTTTCGCGATTATCTGGGAGATATCAGACTCTACTGCAGAGACTGGGGAATACAGTCCAAAATCTGGAGTCTCCCAGATATTTATCTGGGAGAGTTGACAGCACTACCTTCCCAGGGGCAGATCTAAGGGGAGGGTGCCGGGGGTGTGCACCCCCCCCCCCCCTCTGAGATGACCTGCGGTTTTCTAATACAACTGGTATTCTGCAAAAAAAAAAAAAACTGTATGGTTTGTTGGTGTTGAAGTAGAGCAAGAGACGAGTGCACCCCCTCCTAAAAAAAATCCTGGATCCTCCCCTGCTTCTGGTCAGCCATTCAGCATTCCAAACTGACTCCTGCCGGCAACATTGACCCTTCTGCTCTGACCCCTGCCATCAATTCACCATTTTCACATTGCCCATAAAATGCCCTGTTTACCTACAAAGTTTTGCAGGAGAAATTGAACACAAAGCTTATGCAAATTTTTGGGGGTTAACAAGTTGTATTATGGGCAAATGGGAAAATGATGAACTTTCCCAACAGTGCCCCTACCTCCCCCTCCCCACCTGAAACCAAAAAACTTATGCCTTTCAGATTTCAGAGAACAAAATGTTTGGAACATGGCAATCTTAAGCTACACTGTTTGTATGTTTTTACTGTCAATTTATTTTAAAATTCTGAACAACAATCAGTATTTAAAATCATTAATGAGCGCATCAACAAAGTGCATAGCCTGGGACCAGGCTCCGCAGTTGGGGAAAAGGCAAAAAAAATATGCGAAGCAAGCTGAGCGGTAGTTTCCCCCTCACCAGTCCACCGCTGCAACCCACCCAATGTCATACCCTGAAGTTGCTGTTTTTTAATTGTCTTTTAGCCAGCTCTACATGAAGCAGTTGGTAAGATCTCTTGGTTGTTAGGGAAGTGGAAAGGAGAAGGGTGTGGTGTTTATCCAACCATCTCGCCATTCATGTATGGTGAAGAAATTGTTTTCAACCATGTAGGACAGCCCATGCTTTCTTACAAGTAAGTGAGAGGTTATTTGCATTATTAAGGCATTATACTTGTGATCGTGTGATCAAGACACCAAGAATCTCTATAAAATGCACACATTAAGTTGGTCCATGCTCTCCTTCCACCTTTTTTTCACTCTCCATCAGGTGGACACCTCTCTAAGACAAACAACGTTTGTTGATCCTAGGTAGGGTTGTCCATCCTAGCAATAAAATGCTCATATTTTTTATTTCATCATCATTTCATTTATTTATTAATTTCAGCTCAAGAACGTGGCATGCAGAAAATGGAAAACCTATGCATCATGAAACTGGGTGGCTAAGAATTAAACCAGGAACATCCACACTGGCTTTTATAATTGCACAGAATACAGGTATTTAATGGCAGCTCACTAACCTGTATTTTTCAAAAAAATTTTTTATGTTACTATAATTTATTGTTACTGTACATTTCAACAGGTGTCACTGAAATTGAGGAGGGTGAGGTTGAAGGACACAAGATTCGTCTTCTTTCTCACACAGTTGGAAGAATGAGCTTTGGTGCAGAGCCAAAAGTCCTCAAGGTACAGTATAAGAAGCACTGTACTTGTTACTACATTGCGAGATTTCAAATTCAGTTTAAATTGGAATAACAGATTACTAGAAAGTTCTGTGGGCAAATTCTCCTTTGCTTCACAAGCAAACACAAGGCAGGTTTAAAGGAGAATCAGACAGTTAGTCAGATTAGTGGCATGTTTCCAGGCACCCCTTCATATTGAAAGTTGTTGTATTTAGTATACCTGCATGCCTGTAGTTTAGAGGAGTTTTAAAACATAGGGTTGCTAAGATTCTTCTTGAATTTTTGATTTTTTTTGTGATCCTCTTTGCTAAAATCAAACACAGATTGAGAGGATTTACACTCTAAAGGATGCCAACACATTAGAGCTGGAGTGTTTTATGGAAACTACCAACACGGAACATCAGAAGCATCTGCATATCACGTATGAGAAAGTCAGTGAATAACATCCAACAACGTGCATGAATTTCAAGTGAGAGAACTCATTAATTAATTTTATTCAGTGTAGTTTAATAGATTATGACATCAGCCATGAGCTGTATAAATACGGGTTATATTCTCTAAGCATAAACCACCTTTTTATAGTAGGTGATCAATTAAGTTAGAACCTTGTTTTCTATGTCTTACTCCATGGGATGGAATTAAGTGAGAGAGGGCCTGAGACCATGGCTGTATGAACTGCAAGCTCTGAGTCGCTTATAGTTAACTCTTTGATAGTTTCATTTTCAAAGTAAATCTCTTGCTGTTAGTTTTATTTAATTTTTATTTGCCAAGTTTTATAAGGGCATTTCAGTTTGTTTTCTGCAGGCATGGTGAGCACCAAACAAAACATCCCTTAGGCAGCTTCTTACACTGTCTGACATACTATCGACAGAATTAACAAAAATAGTAATAATAACAGTAGTGTAAAATTTAATGTAGGGGGAGTAACATTAGATTTCAGCATTATAGGGAGTGTACATAAAATGATGGTGAATATAGTTGCGGAAGATAAAAATTAATATTGTAATACATTTAAAAAAGTGGTAACATACAGTTGGAGCATGTTTTAATTTTTCCTTTCAAGAACAAAACAAGAGTGACTAGACTATTAAATACGAGTTGATTTGGTTTTGAACAAATTGTTGGGTGATAAGGGAGAAATCACAGAGATTTCAAAGTGCGGTAAAGAGATAACTATAAGGATGATTGTTTATCGTGGCTTAAAAGTCGCATGATTAACAATAACATTATATGAAGAGATCCAGTGGCACAGAAGTAAGAGGTTATTTGTATAGGTAATAGCATGATTTGTAGTGATATTTGGCATAAATACCACGAGTCATATTTCAAAATTGTTAAACATAATTTCACGAGCCATTAGGCGAGTGAAATTTGAGACAATTTTGAAATATCACAAATGGTATGTATGTCAAATATCACATACAAATCATGCTATTATTTGTTTATACTACTAACCACAAAAGGTTTGTAATTTTCACATGTAGGTATTTCAAATTAAGCTGAAATACCACTGCTCTAAGCCAATCAAATTGCAGAAATTTCTCATGTAGTAGTATAAAGCATTATTTTAATAAACATTTTACAGTTTCTTCTTTACTGTGTGGTAGAGTTATTTCCATCCTTTGCAGAGTACTTAGCATCTTCATCCCAGACTGACTATGAACCAAAATCCTAATATTCTTTTACCAATGACCAGTTTCCCATAAAATGACACCCATCCCAGACTAAACTTCTTGGGAACCCAACCCTTCACAACAGCACATAAGTGTACAGCCCATATACAGGCATAAAACAATACCTGCCCCTTGGGCATTTTAGGGAGTTTAAGATACCATGACCGCAACGGTGGCAAAAATGTCACTTAAAAAGTGGCTTCTCGTTCTTTGAAACTTCAGTGCCATTATCCCAACTCGCTCACTTTGTCCAATCATTCTTAAGAAAGAAATTCAAGTTTAGGGAGAGAAAGAGAAATTTGTCGTCGTATGTTCATGTTGTCGATGAAATGTGAAATTTGGCAATTCACGTCGTAGTCGTGCAGTGATGGCAAAGAAATGTACCAAAAAGCGTGTGTTGAGAACTGATGCCTCTTATACTAAAAACAACTCTCAAGGTAGTTCATATCATGAAAAAGATTTTATTGGTTGTCCCAAGAAACACAACAGTTCCATACAACCACCAGGGTGTGCAGGATGTACTTATTTACTTCAAATATAAATAAGGAGGGAGTAAAGCCTGATAGAAGACTGTGCTGCCTAAAGAAAGATACTAAATCTAATGTTCAAAATCTGAAGCATTTTTGTCAACGATAAATCATTCACTTTGAAAAGATATTAGTAGAAGAGAAGAGCTAAACACAAAAAGCTCTTAGCTAAATCTCATAAGCAACATAAAAACGTCTTATACTGGAAATGGTTCTTATCAAAACACCATCTGCCTTATCTTTCAGCCATCAACATTATTATTATTATTGACATTGAACTTTGTTTCACTTCCTGTTTCCTCTTGGATCATTTCTATTTTCCTGGTATGTGCAGTTTGTAAATTTAGGAAATCTGTCATGTTCTTTGAAAAAATCCTACTCACAAGAACTCTTTTGCACTTGGCTCTTCCATTTGTACTAAACATCCATATATAACTATTACTTTTAACTAAACTTTTATAGAAACCTTAATAACTTGAGTCGCATTTCTTGAGCTATGCCCTCCATTTATCACTAATGCTAACTTGCTACTGTAGTGGACAAACTAATAAAAACAATATTTGAATTTTAAATAAATACTTTATAAAATATCAATAAATTTTCTGTTACTTTACTCTTCTTAATTTTTGGCATGCACAACTTTACACCTCAGGGACATACTTAATATACTGAATACACTTTACATAATAATATAATTTAACATTAAATGCTTATAATTAATGTATCCTTGCAATATCAAACGCTGCTGCTTGACATTTCTGCTGCTAGTTTATTTTTTTTCTAAAAGCGCAGGAATATAAAAATAAACTCTCCTTGTTGCTTTATTCCTTAATCTTTACCATAGCCTATGGAGCCTTTGATGGACATATTATCGTCAGTCCTTTTGACATTTTTTTTTCCAGAAACGCCCTTTAAATGACTCTAGCATAAAGCACTCCTTTGGGCCTTGGTGACCTTGCATGTGAGCTGCAAGCAGCTTGAAAGTCATCAATCCCATTAAAGTATGTTGTTTGATATTTCCTACACCCTCATCTGTTACATCATGAATTGTACGTGCCATCAAATACCAAATAGTGTAGGCAGGAACATCCACAGTCAGAGATCAAACATCACCCTTAGACATGTTGTTGAGGACTAAGATTAATATCTGCATCAGAGGCTCTCATCATTAAACTTTTTGCAAAAGAGAAATAAAAGATAAGAAAAACAGGCCAGCTGGAATGTCATTTCATTTGTACAAACTTTGCCTCACAGCTTTTTAAAAATAATATTGTCAAAATAGTTTTATTCAGCCAATTCCTTTCCAGCTATTCTCTGTATAGTCAAGTTGTCATACAATGGGGAAATGATTTGTGTGACAACCATATACCAACCTGAAGGTCAGCTAGTTTTGTTGTATTATGTAGTCAAGAGGACAGCACCCAGTGAAAACACTTTGCAAGAAAATAGTCAGGAGAAGAGACTTGGGGAAAATTATCAGTCTTCTGATCCTCAGAGACCCATGGGCAGTCAGTTGGATTGGCAAAAATGGCGGCATCTTCGAAGCCTGTACTCATTTGTTTTTCACTCACTATTTTCGTTAACATTTCAATTTACACTCCTCCCTCAATCTTTACTCTAGGAGTTAACAAAATCATTTTTTGTTGTTAATACATGTACAAGTCAGTTTTCTCACCCCTATTCCACGTCGTGCTACCTTTACAGGACATTTTTTTCACAGATATAGTATCTTTGCCAAATATGGTATCAGCTTTTGGTACTAGTATGACAATCTTAATTTTAAAACCTCTGTCTTTGTAGATTTTTTTTCCATCCATGTTAAGATTACTTAAGATGCTTACTAAAAAATTCTTTCATACATACATTTCGATTTTTTCATCCAGAAAAAATGACAAAATTTTTTTAAAATAAAAATTCAGAAAACCAGTTTCTGCTCTGCCATTTTGTAAAAAGTAGTTTTTTTATCTTGATGCACTTGCAGTGAAATGAGCTACATGTAGCTTAAGGCTGGGGAAACCAGTGATAAGCATATTGTATCCAAGCCTACAATGCTCCTAAGTAAATTGACATTAGACATGTATCAATCTCACTCCTGAGAGTGAGGAATCAAGAAAATTTAAGATATTTTTCCAAAGAGTTAAGAGCCAACACAACATCTGTGACTCTCGAAGGTAAGTGAAGGTTAACCTAAATGTTCCAGTCCAAGACAAAAGCAAAATATTATAAGTCTGTGTGGCAAAACGATGAAACTTACCAAGGAACACTGTTATTTCTGCACCTCAATGCTCATTAATTTAACACATTTCCGCAGCCTTCTTCTAATGCTTTAAGCAGTGGTAATGAGTTAGTAAGTTATTTAAGCTGATCTATAGGCTAGCTAAATAAATGATCACATCTCTACACAATTCTTTTAGAATTGCTGAATCATGGTTATGTAGCATGCATATGATTACTACCTCACCTACTTATATTTTATGGTGTAGGGGGATCTTTGCTGATATAGTTGCTTATCCTTCACTTCAAGAAAGGTAACAGCAAAAACGAGTGTCACAGTTGGTTTTCCATGAATGCAATGTTTGTCTCAAAGACAAAAGGATAATAAGAAACCAAGAAAAGTCATGGGTCTCATTTTGACACACAAAGTCACAAGCTAAGGTCTCTGAATTTTTTTACAAAATGATTTTGGCATCACGGGAAGTCATATGAATCCGAATACAGTGTTCTCTTCTAAACCAGTACAGTGACAGGTGTCACATAACAAAGTTGCTAACAAGCATGAATCATCAAGCTTATAGGACCCAGGAAGGAATGGGCAATACTTTCACAGCTGTAACTGGAAATGAAACAAAACCAAAATTCTCTTTCATCATGCATTCCCATAAATTTGGATTTCATAAAGATTTGTGAGGGTTCACATGGTTCTGGAAAGAAATCTGGCAAGTCATTGAATATTAAACTTTTACTTTCTAAGGATGGAAAGAGATGGCTCTTAGTTTAGGTAATTGAAAGTTGTAAAAAATTGTTCTTTAACTGTGCAAAATCACAAAACTATGTTGTGTTCTATTAAAAAGCAAAACGTACAAGGAATAACAAAAAGAAAAATATAGAAATTCAGAAAGTTGGAAAAAATGACAGAAAAAGCAACTGTATAACAGTGATCTTTTGTCAAAATTTTGAAAAAAGGTGTTTAACTTTGAGTTATGGATAACTTGACAAGGTCATTAAAATGCATGGAATTTTGAAAACAAGACAGAGTGTGAGCCCTGTTATAAGAGCTCAAAATTTTTCCAACAAGTATTTCAACTTTCCTTGGAAGTGCTACCAATTTGTGAAGTTCATTAATTTTGTTCCTGGGTGGTGAAAACTTTATGAAGCCAATTAAAATACCAGCAAAGATTCCCCTACGTTTATTAGTGCATCAATTAAAGTAAACTGATTTTAACCAGCTGTGCACGGGGGGTACCCCCTTAGTTACGAATAATAATAACATTTTGGTAGTATTCCGAGAGTTAAGACACTCTTGGTACCAAAATAGCTCTTGACCTCCATATTCCTTCCACCCATCCAGCTAAGGGCATGTTCTATCTAGGGGTTTGATCTGGAGCTGATGCAGACGAAGATGAACTGGTTGTAGGGTGGTAGTATTTACAGTTTGGCCTTGTACACTTTCCTTTTACTGCATCTCGGCAGACTGTTACCTTTCCATCAATAACTTCTACATTTTCTACAAGTAGAAAAGTAACAAATGGAAAGCAGAGTGTGAAATGAAAGGCTATTGGGGTGTGTCTTGATTTATGGTATTCCAATAAAAAGAATGCCAAGAAACTAGGATTCTTAGAAATCCCTTCCACTGGAAATTTCAGGAATCACTAGCTGTAAATAATGCTGCAAATATCTAAATACAGAATGGAAGCCAGACTTACAGATGTCATAGTGCAAACAATGCATAAAAAAAGCATCTTCTAGAAGTGTAAATTCCATTTTATTGTTTCACAAATATTATGATCATAATTGAATGCATCCTTTAATGTCACCCATGACAAAGCTGCCCTTCGACTTCAGCCCTGCATATAGTAATGGGAAGGGGGGTGTGGTACTCTGTGAATTTTTGGGTGGAGGTGTGCAGATGGGACCCAGGGGCGGATCTAGGGGGAGGGTGCAGGGGGTGCCCACCCCCCCTGAGATGACCTGCGGTTTTCTAATACAACTGGTATTCTGCAAAAAAAAAAAAATGTGGTTTATTGGTGTTGAAGTAGAGCAAGAGACGAGTGCACCCCCTCCTAAAAAAAATCCTGGATCCGCCCCTGGGGAAGGTGGGCTCCTTATTGGCCTATAATCTATGTTCAGAGGCATTTAGCAATCCTATTCCAAACAATGGGCCAAATATTTGTGCCTATCCCAGAGAAATTCCAAATGAGAAACTCCACAGACTCAAAGCTGTCGTGTCTAAATAAACATAGTCTAACTCAGACTTTTCATTAACACAATCACTGAATCTCTTATTATTCTATTAATGGCTTCTTTTAAGAAGGTAAATGGTTTTCTAGACCGGAATGCTTCACGCCTTTTCATAAGTTGCATCTGTACCTGTGATGATCTTAAATTTATTTGTTTATTCTGCAGTTCAAATACATGAAAAGTGTATATTCATCATTTCAACATTAGATTTGTTGGACACACAGTGCAGACCCTCAGGGAAACAAAACTATTTTCTGGGGACCTGACGTCCAGAGTATATCATAAAATTCATATTTCCAATGTGTGTGTGTCTTGTTTTTATTTATTACAGGTTTTTTTTTCTATTCAATTTATTGCTTTCAATGTTAATAGATGCAAAGAACTGAACTGATAATTATTCAGTCAATGAGCACATCAAAAACACTTTTTTGGAGTATTTAATTTCGTTAGTGTGTATGTGTTAGAAGTGCTTTTCATTGCTTATTTCAAGCTTGCATTTTTCAATATGTATGTCCAGTCCACTGTGGACTTAATACGTAATAGTTAATAATACTTAACTTGTCAAATTTCAAAATCATTTTGAGAAACGTTGCCTTTTCAAGATCAAGCACTTGAGAGAGTATGATTAATTTTTATAGCACCAAAAACTGACTGGAAAATTCACCAGCTGGTGTAAACTTATGTCTAGAAGAGTTTGAATTTGTTTGATTTTTTTATAAACAGGCCAGCAAAGCAAGAACGAGAGCCTGCCTAATAAGCAAGAATGATCTGGAGGCACAGCTTAGCCCTATCAGCCGCAAGCAGCTCAAACCATCAGGAAATTCATTTTCCTTGTTATGTTCTACCTCTTTTTTAGGTCTTTGACATCCAGTTCATGTTTCACTGACAATGGTCTTTTTTAAGAATACTATAAATTTACACGTTGGTTAGCGCCAAGGCTGCTAGGGCTACTCAGCTAAGCATTAACAAAAGAAAGAAAGCTCACTGTCTTTAACGTGGGCATAGCGGCAGGCTTCTCTGTGGCACTGGCCAGAGACATAGTCCCGACAAACTGGCAACCCATTGGAGGAGGTGTTCTGTCAAGGGAAAAACAAAGGGTCTCAGATTTATTGTTGATTGACAGGTGTCATTCAGTCAAACAGTCAGGAAAGTGCCAGTTGTGGGAATAGAATTTAAAAAGTTACAAGACTATACTAACTCATTGAAGATGGGAAATTATGCTAGAAACATCTTAGTGCTTAAGGTGTAAAGCAGCATGGATAAATTATGCAAGCATGCATATGCACAATGCAGAGTAGAGATGCCACTCCCTTTCATCATAACAGTAAGGCTAGTAACTGAATATGTGCTCCATTTAATGCTTTCGTTTTTGCATTGTCAAAGTTCAACTCAAAGTTTAAGACCAAATAACATCATTTTTGAGATTCAACAGCAATTTCTTCTCATTTTAGACCTGAAATTTGACACTGCAATCAGTGAAAGGATTAGAGGAAACATCCATTTTTTACCATGCTTAAGTCACTGACCAAAGCATTTATTGAGATCAGTTTTCTAAGATAACCATACACAAATGTAAACTGGAACAGTAAAGGAGATGTACTTAGAGGATGCTAACTACCTCTAAAAATCCATACAAACCAGCTGTTAAACTTATAATATTTAACACAACATATTAACAACAAAGGACAGACATAAAAATTTTTAATGATTGAAGTTAATTCTACAGTCAGGTATAATAACCACATAAAATAATACTATTCCTAGTACAAAAATGAAAAATGAAAATTTTGCTGCAAGACTATCTGAGAATCTATTTTGGCTCACCCATTTAGTCATTTTTTGGTAAGTTTCAATATCATTGGTAGGGTAATTGTCTTGTCTTGCAATAAAGTTTTCATCACTTCAAGACTGTTCTTTCAATAAAACAATATATAATTCACTTACTATTCCAATAATTAAATTATATCACAGTGGCACAGCCACTGGACAAAAACTATCTCAAATCACACACAAAAAAATTAAATTACTTGTCCTTTCAAAAATGCCTCAACCAAATTACAACTGTATGAAATGAAAAATAAGTTAAGTAATACAAATACCAATATCAGTGCATTCCATAATCCTAATGTGGCACATTTTAAGGACAAAACTTAGTTTAAGGAATTTAATTCTCATTACTATCATTAAGTAAGAGCTCTTTCACATAATTTTGTATATCTGGTAACACAGTGCCGTGTTTAACTAAAATTCTAAACTTTTTCTGGTCAACTCTTCGACGAAACAAAATATTACCCTTTCTTTTGTAAATTTAAGATAGTTGAAAAGTATGTCTAATAATTCTTTAGCATCTAAAGATCTGAACCTGCAACAGTGAAAATTCCATGACCATGCAGGTATATTAAATTTTTACAAAATACAGACTTAACATAGTCTCTCTTTTTAGAAGTACATACAAAAAAATCTCTTGAATTTAAATAGTAAATCGTAAATAGTGACTGTTCCAAATAAAATTATTATTACACATGCAAATAATTTCGTCTAAACTACGTATGAAATTAATTAATATGTGTAACTAACATACAGACACCTCTTCATCCTCAAAGCAAATCAACATCTTTCACACATCAGTGGTCATAAAACATTGTTTTCTGTTCTTCTCGGAGTTCTTGCAATGCATTTGTAACAGAAGCTTTTGGGAACTTCTAACCATCATGTTTCAATGATCAGAAATCATGTACACTCTGATCACAGATTCTTAACAAGAGAATTTCATTCTAGAACAAGCTGTTGTAACAAAACACTACTCTTTACCTATAGTCATGGCCTCAAGTTAAACACGGTTGTGCCAACAAGAATGTTAAGAGCTTTCAATGTTATAGATATATTAATTAATATTACTATACAAATCTTTTGTTGGAAGTTTTCTTGAAATCTTCCAATATCTACAATGTCCATGATAAAACTTCTTGTCTCTTCAGAAGAGTCCTTGAATGAATCCATCGCACGATATCATGACAGGAAAGCCGTCAACGCATCAAGGTCAGTCAGCCGAAAAACCATCAGTTCGTCAACAGTCATTTTACACATTGGCAACCCAACCACAGGACAACCAGCTTCATTCCTTGCTTTATGCAAAGCAAAGGCTCAAAACAGCTACTGGTCAGTCAGCTTCTCACTCTGGGTATCCCTGCGCAATCATTCCACCAACCCCTCTACTTTGACACTGTACTGTCAATTAATACCCTCCACCAATCACTCATGCATAAAAAAAATTGCCCCACTGATTACAAAACATGAGGCGCCAACACAAAAGTGGGTGTGGTGGGTGTTGATGAGCCTAATGTGTAGCTGTTCCAGTACTGCATGTCCATTGACTGGACTTGAGGATCAATTATTTGGTATGAGGATTGTGGTGGAGGAGGAGGAGGAGCTAGTGGAGGTGGTGGCGTTGCGGCCGACTCCACAGGCATATAGCTTAACACCTGTGGTTGAACAGTCTGAGGTTGCCACTAGTAGAACATGGAACAGGAAAGGAAACATCAACATTAGAATCACTTTCAACCTAATGCACAATAATCATCAGTTGCTAAAGAACCTGGCTCTATATGTACATAAATATTACTACAATTTTTCTATCATACTGCTACATCAGAAATGTCTGCAATTTGATGGGCTTAGAGCAGTGGTATTTCAGCTTAATTTGAAATACCTACATGTGAAAATTTGAGACCTTTTGTGGGTAGTAGTACAAAAAAATACTAGCATGATTTGGATGTGATATTTTGCATAAATACCACTCGTGACATTTCAAAATTGTCTCAAATTATACAATTATACAATTTCGAAATATCACTTGTGGTATTTCTGCCAAATATCACTACAAATCATGCTATTACCTATATGAATTAAATGCAGTTTATATGTATTTCTTGATTCTGTATTTTGTCAATTAAACATCTTTACTCAAACATAACCTGGTGGACTTAGCATTTGGAATGCTTTAATCTGCAGTCTGTTGGGACATGCAATTTTTTAAGACAGGGTTTTCATGTCTTTTTCAGCAATGGTGTATCATGCCCTTTTGTCTTGATAAAATTATTTTACCACAAATAAATGTCTTTTGGGCTTAGTTACAACAATAACTTTCCCTTTTAGTCCTGGTATTTACTTTTTGGGGCCCAGGGTTTAATCAACAAAATATATTACAAGTGTTAACAAAATGTTAACATATTAACATTGGGAGCAGTTCAACTGGCACCTTTCTGCTGCATTGAAATTAATTAACAAGATTAATTACAGTTGTATTGGAAAGACACTAATTACTGCTACTCAGTACTTGTGTTATTGCTGATGAATATAGGCACAGATGATAAGTGCCTTTACTTGCTGCCAATTATGAGATTTGCTTTTAGCAACCAAAGATACGATTGTGTCAATACTACAGGAAACAGGGGAACGAGGAATCTGTGAGAGGCCAAAGAAGACCAGGGACTCGGATCCTCAAGGAGGATAAATGTGAAAGCAATGCAATTTTGCAAAACCCATTTTGTGGTTATTACATGACAGCACACAAGAGGCAATAAACCTTGTTGAAAATAATTACCACTTAAAATGTAGAAAACCCTTACAAAATTTCTAAAGAAAAGTTTGACACTAACATGTATGGCGACTATTCATGAACTTATAACACAAAATGTGTAGACTGGTGGATCAAGAAGGCTGTTTATGACAAACAGTGAGATTCAAGTTAATGAATATGCGAGAGAGGAATCAGAGCTATTTTTTAGGGAATGTAAGCAGTGGCTACCATGGTAGAAAAAAAATTCGGTGAAAGTTCCATATAACAAACCTCTGTATAAGAAAGTCCTTAGTATGACGAACAACATTCTTTAACCCCGTAAATTAAGGTTAATTACATGGAAAAGAACCAGCTAAAAATAATTTGTCAGTCTCTTGGCTGTTCACTATATCTAGGCTCCACAGAACACTGACTAAATATGGAAATTTTCAATTTTCAGCCAATATTCTCACCTAATTAAAAAATAATAGCCACTGTCACGGGAAAATTTATCATTATCATGTCCCTTTATTCTATTTCTTCCTTTTTACTTTACTTTGAGCTCTACTGGAACTGGGATAACTTCCAAACAAGCACAGTTTCACTTATGCATCACATTAGCATTTCCCTGCACTGTTCAATAAACAGCCTCCTTGAAGTGCCATTATGAATGGTTAATATAATAATTACCTGAGGAAGTTGTGTTTGAACCAGTGGTAACCCAGGTGCAAGCAACGGCACTAGAAAAAGTAAAACAAAGTTTAATACATAAAATCTGGATCCTGCTTAGATAACTGCAAAAACCCAATGAAATTTACAAACATGTTAGACCCCTTAAGCCCCAATATCTGCATATGAATTCTCCAATTGATCTCTAAACATTTCCTTACTGAATTAGTTGGGAGAATCTGAAAAACAATCAGAGCATTTTTCCTTTGGTAATCATTTTAGCAATTCTCATAACTTCTAGTCTTGATTGCGAACTGATAATGTTACGAGAATTGATGTTTGCCACTCTTGGCAGTTAAAGGGACGGGTTCATGGTTCAACGCATGCTCATTAATTAATTAAATTACATTTTTCCAATATATTATTAATTCTATCGGTTAATAATCCCACTCACATGTATGTCAGCGATCTCAGAGTGTATTTCAAAGTAGAAGTGTATTTCAGAGGAAACTGAAGTGGGATAGAGGAGTACTAAAATCGCAGAGAAATTAGCGCATTATGCCAATAATACCATCGTTGAATTTATTGTTGACCCAAGGGTTTTATTCCACAGTTGATTAATTTACAGCTATTTGCACCTCAGTTGATTAAGTGACTGCCAGGGGAGGGTGCAGATTGGTTCTTTGACAACATTATGAGTCACATGATCTAATTACTTGCATAGATGATACAGCATGTCCCGGCAGAAAAATAGCATTTGATTAACGAGCATGTGCTGAGCAGTGAACCTGTCCCTTTAAAAGACGAAATGTTTTGTCTCCAAAGATGAAGAAGCAATACATATTATAGTAGTGTATTAAATGGGATCCAAACACAAGTAAGATTTACCACTACAGTGTAGCCTTAGCAGATGATAAATAAAATGTCAAGATATCCACTGGTTTCAATTAAGCCTTTTTATGTTTTCATTTAAGAATTCTACACTCCCTTCAAAATTCAATAACTTTTTTTCAATGAACAACCAAATACATAATTATAGTACAAGGAGTGCTGAATCTATTTGTTACAGCTATGCACAACCAGTACCAGGCAGTTTTCTGTTTACTTTCAAGGTCAAAAGTTTTACAACTCTCTGAATGCTAAGATAACGAAATCTCCCACTGCACCTATATATACACCTTTTACAAAAAGGCTTAAAGAATTTCTTCTCAATAGGTATTAGCAGAATAAATAGAAGAGACACTCCAGGAATTGTAACACAGATTATAGGAAGAATGGGACTTGTAACAACAACAGACAGACTCAGTCTAATTGGTTTCTTTCAGGTTTCCTCACCATCTGCTTCCTTTAACTTTCTTTATAACATGTGTACCTTTATTGTAAGGATGTGTGATATGACAAATAAACATGAATGAATGAATGATAAGCTAGTAACAAGATGATGCTGGCAGAATAAATAGCAGAGATGCTTCAGGAATTGTGACACAGATTATAGGAAGAATAGGACAACAACAACAAACACACCCAGCCTAATCTGAAACTTACATAATACTTACGTTTTGACCGAGATTTGTTTACTTACTTGTAGGTATAAGCGAGGTAAACTGCAGTCCTAGTGGTTGGTTAAAGGACTGAAGCGCTGTTGCAGCCCCTGCAGCTGGCATCACCAGGGGCACTTCCAATGCAGTTTGCTTTTTGAATGGTTCACCAAAACTCTGAAGAGAAATAACACAAATTTAGTCCCAAAATAAAAAACATATCAAACCCTATTGACAATGCCTGGACCTACAATCAAAGTCATCTATAAAGAGTAAGTGATCCTATACATTATTTTGTACCATGCTATTAAACACCTTACTAGACTTTTCTGTTTGATTCAATTCAACAATACAACATGTTTAAAGGTAAGTAGCCAAAAAAAAAGCATTAAATGGTAATGAACTCATGATTTTTCATACTTACAGTCATAATAGAGATGAATTATTTGGAAAACTTAAAAAGAAAACACATCACGAACAAAAGCAAAATAATAAAGTAATTATCCTGAAGTAAAGTTCAATCATTAGAATCAGAGTAACAAAGTTTACAAAAGACCGAGAATGTACTTCAAGAAATGAACAATACTGATTTTTCTAGGATGGTAAAGCTTGTTTCAAGAAGGCCCCAAAATAATGGTTCAAGCTATAAAGTGTACCAAACCGACTCCATTGCATCTGCTAAACATGTAGTCTTCCCAAAATGAAGTTAATGTTATTACTTTATACTCTAACACTATAAATGACAACTCAAAATGCTGGCACAGGGTTCCAAGCTGTCTTAATCTTACATTTCTCCGAACTATACTGTCTACACCAAAACAAATAATGGCAATAATGATGATGAAAATCTTGTCAATCTTTACGAAAAAAAGGTGCATTCATGAAGTTTTGCTATTTTGTGACAGTTTGATTGCCACTTAAAAATGTCACAATTTTTGTACCACTTTAGATGCAACTTTTACCAAACAGATCATTTCGACATGCCAAACAAGATCAAACAACAACAATCAAAAGCTTAATATGGACTGGAAAGTAGTGTATTGTGAATAGCTGTCCCCCTTAAAATGATCAGGTTGGAACCCTGTTAAGGTCTGTTATTAGTGGTGCAAATAAACAGCTACAAAAAGCGTGCATGTTGCAACGAACAGTTCTAGAAAAGCAAAAGGCAATTAAGTACCAGTTCTGGTAATGTCATTGTGTCATGAGGCCTCTTGCGACTGCCTTCCAACTAAGACAGCAGGCGATGATTGCAAGCACAAAAGGAATGAGCCGCAATGCCAGCCAGCCAGCAGCAATATGACGAAAGCAGCGGCAGCAGGGTGGCACATGAAAAAAGACAAGCAAAATGCAAGTCATAATTTAAGCAAACTGCTAGCTAATAAAGCAGTTTCCACTTAAGTGCTGAAAAAGTATTTTTGCTGGACTCCCAATATGCTGCCAAATGCTTAAAAACATGAACATGCAGGTTACAGTACGTTGTTTGATAATTTTACTTTTTCCCCCTGTCAAAGGAAGTGAAAGGTTGTTTTGAAAAACACAAACACTTAACTGGAAACTGCTCTTTACAAAGCTTCATGCATTATTCCATGCAGGGTTACGGATCATTCAAGTTCAACGACCATCTTGATGAACTTGGAGCTCAGCTCACAAATCAAATCATGTGGGATAGAAAAACCAAAACAGAAGACAGCTGTCTTCAAAAATGTCAAGCATCTTCACTTCGCCCTATGAGCTACTGACTGTTAATTCAATAGTTTCTTTAAACAAGCATGCAAGCAGCATGGGAGAGAGAGTTTTGTTTTTACACAATCAAGTAGCTTCATGCATAAGTCACAGCAAGTCATCAGCTACAAAACTGATTTAATTATTTCTGGCATGCAAGCAGGTGCAGTAAACAGATTACTTTACATTAGTGCTCATTATATTGTTGTTACATACTTTTAGTTAACTTTTTTAGGAAATCAAACAACTTTCTTAAAAAAGAAAAAAAACCCTAACACCCTAACACACTGGGTTTTTTAGTTACTCTAATTTAAAACAACTATAATATGAAAAAGAGACTTTTCTGTTCAACAAAAACAAAACATTTACATTTTTTTACTTTTTAACTTAAATGTTGCTTGGAATTATTTACTCCTATCTCTTAACCTGTGCAACTGATCCACCACACTAACAATAACATCATTCAAATTAATATTACTATGATAATAAAAAAATCACAAGACCACACCAAATGTCATGAAAGAATAATAAAATCCAGAAAAAATTATTTCTTCTGGATTTTATGCTGGAAATATTCTAATAAGTTATAAAATGGACCACGTCTAATCACAGACGGCAAAGAAAAATAGCTACATTGTATTGGCAAAAGTCTGATGTCAGCTGATGTCAATATCACAAAATAATTATATACATGCAGTCACTGTTTTCATTGAAAGGACTGATATTCCTACACCATAATCAACTAGCTAGTAACCAAACACCCTTGCTTTTAACTAACCGGCACTGACTGTTGCTGAGCTGCCCGTACTCTTCCTTGAAGATGAGAGGGCGGATGAAAGTAGCGACACATTTCTCTTTGACATCTTCCTTTCATGAAGTCCATACAGACTGTAACCATTCCATCAGAGCTGTCAATCGACACATGTCGTGGAGGATGCGCATATCTGCACTCTTCTCTTGAACATGCCCCTCGCTGGAATTCACGGCAGACCTGAAGATGAATTTGATGTTAATTTGATGACAACAATGTTTATGGCAATGATAAGGTCAAAACAACATGCAGAAGAACTTTCAGTCAGCACTGTGGTAAAAACATTGTGTACTTATTCTAAGTTTGATCTGGATACATTTTTATTAGAAGTGTTTTAGTTAATTATTTATGACTTAAACAGTTAAAATAAAATCTATTCAAATCAAGCTGAACAGCTCGAAATTGCGACTGATACGGTGGCCAATGCGACTAACATTTTCTCCTTAGTGACTAAAAATTCTGGTTTAGTCGACACTTTGGTGACCAGATTTCTCTATGATTTAGACTTAAATTAAAAGAGTAAAATTAAAACAAACATTTCATTTGCCAAATGGGATAAACAAGGCCAGTTAACCTCCAAATTTATACCAACTTCCTGATGGATTGTGCCATACTATGAGCGGCCTCATTTACATTATGCAAACTGGCAACTAAAAATTTGCATCTGGCGATTATATTTCTCCACTTGGTTGCCAAAAGGCAACCTGAGGATTTTTTTAATTATGAGCCCTGACAGTACTTGTATTCAGTGCTGTTCATGTGTGAAAATGGAGATGACAATAATTTTACAATCTGATTCAAGACATGCCCAATTTCAATGAAAGTGACTGGGAAGTTTCCCCCTTTTATGAGTACCTTCAAACTTTTTTATGTTGACTGGCCTGTCTGGGCAAAAGGGTCAAGAGTAGTCTAGTCAAGTAATATTTTTCCAAAATATTTGCTTTGGTTTTTTCCATTTAAGCAGTACATTCAAAATTTTTTATGTTGATAAGCTTGTCTGGGTGGAAGGGTCAAGAGCATTCTAGTCTAGTGATATTTCTTCAAAATATTTGCTCTAATATTGTTGAGTGTTATGTTTATGCATAACTAACCTCTAATTTGTCAGACTTGTCTAGTCTTCTTGAGGGAGTTTGTGCCAAAGCTGATGTATCTGGGAGAAATGCAAGGGGCTGTTGAAGATATGTTCCATTTGATCCAGGCAAGCTTAACGGCCAAGTAGATATCTGCAATTTGAGGATACATATACACAATGTTACACAATGTTACGGAATTAATTTTCAGGGAAAGTGTTTCGTGTATACATCTTTAAATTATATTCACACAACTAGCAGTGGTAAGGGGACAGGATTACAGGATTTGAGCTTTTCTTGTACGAAAACTGTGGAAGATTCATCACTGAATTTCTTGAGCTTTGGTCCAAGGAAAATGCCCTAAAAACGACCAAGAGAGGTCTAGCATAAAGCTGTGCTCCATAAAAAAGGGAGGTTTCCCAGATTCTCTTAACTTATGTAACTCATTTGACTTTAAGTGCCAAGCAGTTGCCTTTGGGCAATAATTATACCTTTAATGTTCTTATCACACAAATTAGTTCCCACAGAACGCAAAAAACTGTCAATCAAATCGCCACACATCACTCCAAAATTTTACCCCAATGAATTACCACAACCGTTTTTGAGCTACAACAACTTGCCATCTGTCCTTGTTGATTTGCTTTGAATTGAATACATGTAGGTTAATACTGAAAAGCAAGGTGGCACTCCCACATGAAACCCTTTTTTCCTCCAAGACAAAATTTACCATAATTATCTTAACTTGATCTTGTAAATGCCTTAAAGCCACCGTAAGAAGAAGGTAAAATATCAAGAGCAGAGAGAGTAGTGTGACTGCATAAAGTGTATCTGTAACTTACAACTACTAGTGTGTTAACTTGCCCTTACACATAATAATAATAATCATCATCTTTATTGAGGAACCTTTTTCATAAAAGATGTGGTTTTCAAAAAGGACCTCAAAACTAGATATATATTATAAAAACAAAAAAAGCTATAAAATTGCAAAGGGATTAAAAAGATACAAAAAATGCATAAAAAATTAAAAATAAGTATAAGTAAAAATTAAACGTAAGTAGCTATATTAAAAACTTAAAAACATTACGTTTAAAACTATTTACATTCCTTGAGTCTTTGATCGTCTGACTGAGGGAGTTAAACAGTTCACAATCAATTTAATACAGAAAAACAAACAAACTTACAAAAGAAGGATTTGCTAGCATCTGCTGTGCCAAAGGTGCAAAAGCTTGTTGCTGAAAAGCAAGCTGCTGCTGTTGCTGCTGTTGCTGTAGGAGACGGCCATTATTTTCCATCTGAGCCTTGATGTGTTTTGGAGGATGCAAATATTTGCAGTTGTCTCTGCGACACCGACCCTAACAACAAAGCATGTATTCAACATTTTAGTTCACTTATAAGAAAATATTGTGAAAAGGAAAGGATCATTAGAATATCCTTGCAAGACCTTATGGCTACAACAAACAGTACGTATGTTACTTTTGATATGCCTAGTCTGAAGAACAAAGTCAAAATTCAATATTATCTCACACACTCTTTAATGGAAAAAAAGGCCGATAAAACCTCAAAACATAGTAGCCTCATGTACTACCAGATACATGCAACTCTAAGTTCCTATTCTGGGCATAAAATCCCTCAGTTTGACCTTTGCGATGAAAGAGTTATTATTATTATTGCTTCTATTATTAAACTTATACAAACCCCATTATCTCAATAATTTATCATCAAAACTATTGTTAATGATTTTTCTCATTGATAAAAATGTTAGAAAATGAGGACCTTAAAACTAGCTCCATCATACAATCTCAAAACATATCAGAAACACACTTTTGTGTTCAGAAAAGAACTGTTACTCTAGACCCATAATAGCATAAAACAAAAGCCTAGTGCTAGTACTAAATATAACATGTACAACAGAATTTTGGGGGAAACTTTACCAAGACAGTATTCATTTCAACAGCAGCCATCAATGACAAAGAAACGTTTTAGTTCCCCTGTGCTAGAATAGCTGTCTCCTGTAATATTGGTCACTATCCTTATCTGCCACAGTTGGACAAGCATCTATCAAAGGGTTGCTAAAAATAGATTTGACTGTCCATTGAAAGCCCTCTAGATGATCTAGACATGTCATTATTTACGCTTAACATCTTTACAAAGCATAATATCAATATATAATGTATAATTTTGCCCCGTATGAAGTTTAAAGTTTTGACAGGACCTGTTTATAATGGCTGAGGTACCACCAAAAGATAAACAAAACAGGTGGTTATTTCAGCACAGATTCCTACTGATTTCAAGAGAAAAGAGACAAAATCAACAGGTGCCAGCAATCAAATGCACTGTTTCAAATTGAGGGGTCAAAGTAATGTGCCAAGCAAAAGACTGACCTTGTCATCTATCTGAAATATCAGCTACATAGAGAGAGCCATACATTTAAAATTTAATACCTAAAAAGTTGGAAGAAGGACTGGTTTTAATCCTATTCCTTACAAAAACCTAAGAGGAAGGATAAAATTTCTAAATGATTCAAATAAACCAGGCACAAGTCTAGACACTTTGTCATCAGGCTCCTTAGCATATATGTCATTGTGCACTGAATCTAATATACCTATTAATAAAAAACCCACATTCCAGAAATAGTACTCGCCTGTCATCATTTAAGAATAATCTCCATTTAAAAACTCTCTTGTCTTGTGACGTATTATTAACAGAATGTACGCTCTTTCTGCTGAAACATCAACCTGCTAACTTTGACCCGACAAACTGATTAAATAGTAGCATTAAAATTAATCAGCTTATTATATATCTAAAACAACCCTTGAGAAAGCTTATTTCATAACAAGGATAATCAGATAAGCTCAGAAACTGAGAACACATGTCACCAAGTTCATAAACTAACAGGCATTTTTTACTAGGTGCAAACCAAAACAGAAGGAAGTAGAACAGCATATACAGAATACCATTGATCGACGTAAAAACCTAAATCACCTAACCATCTTAGCATTTTGATCCAGTCTACTGCAAATTTGTAAGAATTTCAATATTAATATCACAGACAAATTATGTCTGAGTAGCAAGACTAAACCCCTGCTGGCAAACCAAAAGACAGAAAAGTCTTTTTTATTGTCTTTGCTTTTGCCCTGTGTTTGCCCATGCCTGACCTAGGAAAGGAACAAATCATTCTTTGACACTTTCTGGGTACAGGTCATAGACTGTAGACACCTGACTACAAAATTATGATGTTAAACTTTCAAAAGACAGACTAAACTGCTTATGATTCCACAAGCATACTTATGGCTACAGACCATGTAAGACAGGATTAACGTTTCACACGGGCTAGGGCACATGCAAACAAAATATGTCTAAAAGGTTTACCACTCTGAGGGATGACTTTCTCAATCTCTTTCTGTTTTTAAAATTCAAGAGCTTAATTTTGTTCAAGAGAAAACCTCTATACATAAACATAAGGAAAACTAATTCCAAGTCAAAAAATTGCTTAGAAATTTTCAAGACAACAGAGAACACTGGTGCCACCCTGTAGTACTGATAATTGTGGTTGCATTAGGGTTTAACCGAGAACCTGCCTGAATATAGCAAATATTATCACTTTACGGCTGGTCCTTTCTCACTAAGGCTAGCTTTGAAGAAAAGTAAAACATTCAAACTGGTATTAAGTTACAGTAAATTTATATTCTAGTTCCTCACTGATTTTTCTGTCTACATCAAAAGCCTGAATGGCAAATTTAAAAGTCACCCCATTCACAAAATACAAGAAAAATATGCTTTGCAAAAAAGATACATGAGGAAGTTTGATGTTACGATTGACATCCTAAAAAGATCACGTTTGACAACTCAGGGCACTTTAAAATGCTGGCAAATTGACACTATTGTCATTTAAACCAGCATAACAGGTTGTTTAAAAGGGATCTTGCCTAAACTTTGAAACCACAACATGTGTTATCAAAAGAGGGCAGTGAGCCGTTTTCTCTTCAAGGTCAAATTTTCAAGGCCACATGAAGTGTAGGAAAGTGTACAAAGGCAGAATGAAAAAACTTTGTTTGTAGCGAAGAAAGGGAAGCTAAATTTCAACCAGTAATAGAAAATTAAATGGACGTTGCATTAAGATGTCCATGAAAAAAAACAAATGATTCACTGTAACATTTAAATTAGAATCAACAAAAAAAATCATAGAAATTCTGATATCGCCTATTTCTAGTGTGCGTTGCGAAAAAGAATCAAAGCATCCCAAGAAACAATATGCGGAAATTGTTCAACAACTTAGCGAAAGGAAAGAAATAGGGCCAGCGGAAGTCTTGGCCAACACTTTGATTTCTTTTGTCTGAATGCGGACCAAGAACTATAATTTTATAATTGCAAATTTCAACTTATGTCACGCAAAACCGTGAAGGAAAAGCGGATGCTGAAAATACTCAAACCAAAGTATTTAATGACCGAGTAAATTAAACAATCGCGTGAGAATTATTCCAAAACAAATTTTCACTCGGGCACGCAATTATTTCCCCGTTTCAGCAGGAGAAATTCACGAATATTCTTTTCGCGTACTAATCGGGGGTAAAAGATCAAAATTTAAAATCTGCTATTTTGCGACTTAAATTGACAGTTACGAAAATATAGAGGAATTTTGATTCCGTGAGGTAAGATCTGCCTCGGTAGATAGAACAAAGACATTATACTTTGCCCATATGTTGACGTTGAAATCCCCTCCTGAGTTTTTCGCCCCTACGTGCACGAAATGCCTTTGGTTGAAGAAGTTTTTCCTCAAGACGTGCACTTCGATTTTGACTTGACATAACCTGGATTTCCTTCTCAGTGAGCAAACGGAAAATTCGATTTATACTAAAGCGTTTAGTACACAAAGCTAATAACATGGTTCGTGCACAGAAAAATTACCAACAAGTTCATGCGTCACGAAAGATCTCTCTTGACTTCTTTCATGTATCGTGTCAACACATTGTTCACGAAACGCAGAAACGCAAGGCAATATTTTGTATTATGACACACAAAGGGCAAACTGTCGATTTTTTTTCTGACATGCAGGCACACAACAGTGAACCTGTCACATAATATTCTCACTAGTTTACCCAACTTAACGGCGAATATTGGATGGCTTAGACAAAAGAGCCACAAACATCGTTTAGAACCCCAACCATAACCACTTAGACGACTCACAATCAAAGTTTTAAGTAGTTTTGAGAGAAACATAACGTGTTTCCTCCAAATATTGAACTGCGTGCTGAGGTTGCATGTTTCAGTGCCCTCTGCCTATATAGTCACTGTACTTCTTTGTGACATTAAAAATATCGCTTTGTCAAAGCCACTGAAACCACTGTATAAAAATTTCCCAAAGAAGGGAAATAATAAAACGCAGTTTTCAAAATGCCAAGTCATACCACGTATTCAAAATCGCTTAATACTTGAATCGCCCGCGAAAAACCTGTGTCGCAGAAAACGACGCAACAAGTTCTCAAAAACCGGTGCCAACAAAAGAATTTATACAAAGTTCGTAGTTGTGACCAAAAATCAACGAAAATGTCACCACAAGTAATCCATAATACCATACAATTACTACCGTTAAGACAAAAACGCACATACCTTTAACGAGTCGAAACAAGCCGTGACTTTTCCATTCTGGATGGCCACATGAGTCGGTGGATGTGCGAAACGACATTCGTCTTCTGTCCGAGAACATTTTCCACGCTGAAATTCCCTGCAAACTTCAACAAGCAACCACCTTGGATCCTTGCCCATAACTGGGACTATCATCTTTGAAAGGAATCTGTCTTGTGTCTCCTTTTCGGTAAACAAGTACCTAGCGAGAAAAGGCGGAAATCATGAATGAAATACTTTTTCTGCGAGAGAGCGGATGATGCGAACGCGTATTTCCCGATATTTCCAGAAGTTAGGGGAATTTTGTATTTGGCAACAAAACACTACGCATGCTCAATAAGACTAAACATCGCGGGCTCAAATTACATAACAATGAGTCATCAATTACTCCGTGAGGTCAGGGTCAATGGCGAAGCAAAATTTTCTTTCCTGTCCGGCAATAGTCACGGAAAATAGCATAAAAGGGCGAATCTGCTTGAGGTTTATTTCTCCAACGCTATCAACAGCATGATCGTAGCGATTCTGCCTAGAATATTTGACTCGTGACTTGGTCAGTTGTGACGCATCACGCGAGTACGTGATGGATCGTGCACCTTGTCCTCAGCTCTAGGTGACGTCATCACCAAGAGTATTTATAATAGAGAGGCGCTTTTGTTCATTTTTTCCCCCTTGAAGAAATCGTGAACGCGAGTGGTCAAATGCCACAAAAACCGCATCAAACGGTCGGCCTTCTTGGACTCCAGCTGTTCTGCCAAAGAACTGAGACCAGAGGAAAGTAAAGTGTTTAAATAAAAAGCTTTGTTGGGAAAAAAGCATGAGGAGAGAGCGATCAATTTTGTGACAGCGGTCGGAACAGAAGTCGCATTCGCAAAGAGCGTAGGTCTCTTTGATGTATCAAGGAAATAATTCAATCATAATCAACCAAATAGTCTCTCGTTGATAGGTGGGCATCTTTAAATTTAAAATTTGCTTAAGAGAAATCTCGCGTGATTATCTCATCTTTGTAGATTTCTCGCAAAAATAAAGCTAGAGCCCGAAGCGATTCCCGCCGTGGGAGGTCATGTGTTTGTTCTTCACGAAACCCAGAATTGTTTGCCCCTTGTTTTATCCGTTACTAAAAATCTATGTAATGAACACGTTTGGTGGTTGCTTCGTTAGAGGGGCAGCTTAATCTCGATCTTGCAAATGTTAGCTCGTGAGTTTCGATAATTCTAATCAAACAAATTTCCGATAATAAGCAGTTCCGGGAATGATACAATCGCTCACCTGCGCTGAACAAATCTACCAAATTAGTGCTGAATCTTCGACAAGGACGATACCAAACAAGGTAACATGGCGACCGTGCGATTTGATTCGCAAGCATGTTGTCGCAGGCTTACTTAACTTTTGTAAACAATTAAACCCCTCTCGAGATTAGACGAAGCGCCTATGTATTACATCTCCGCGACAATTGTCACTAACAGGGATATCGGCTAAAAACCGGCGCGGATTCGACGAGCGAAAAATTTGAAAGAGAACAACTTACCTCAGTCAGCTTGAAGTTCGGTTTGGCAAGTGTTGCACGCGAATCTATCTTATATAACGGAGCCGGGAGGTTCCATGACTCAGTCAGTCTCTAGACAGGTTATATATCCGCGTGGATTTTAAAACTCATACACATATCCGGCACGAAAAAACGACAATTCTCGTGCTGAACCAAGTTAACGCCTTTCGTGACCAAAAACTAGCTTAAAGATCATGCAAGCCCAAACAAAATTAAATACAACCATTTTAGCATTTTTATTAGCTCAACAGTCGCCAGTGTGGTTTACTCGAAAAATTAGCGCTTACGACTCGCCTTCATCGCCATTAAAGATTGCCATTGAAGACATTGAATCCACGAAGAAAGGCCACAACTTGAATTTAAGATCAAACCAGAAATGAAAAAATTGCATGGTAATAAAGGTAGTAGGGCTATTAAAAGCTGAAATCTCCTGGCTGGCTTTCCCTACACTTCAAACCGATGATGACTACTTGAACTTAGTCCAGAATCCCTCTCTTGAGTTTTATTTTTTTGTAGAAGCGTGATCGGAAAAAAGGTTTGCCTATAGTGTTGTTTCCTCATCTACTGATTTCTTGAATCACGTAAGTGCGTTTATAGGCATTATGCGGACAATGAAAAAACAACACGGACCAACTACAAAACTTCTCCTTCTTCTCGATTTTAAAGCGTTGAAAAGCTTGTTCAGAGAGTGGCCTATGTAATAAATGCCAAGGGTCGGCGACTATTTACGTCGAAGTAAGTCCAGAGTCAGAGGATTGGATGCACTGCACGTTACTGAGACAGATTTTTCCTTTTTTGTTCTTCAAACAGAACTCACACTTTCTTCAGCTTTCACCGGCCCTTAGTTTTAACTTCTGCCGCCACCGGAAACAGGCCATGTATTGGAAGTTAAAAATACATTCTCTTGTCTCAGCTAAAAGTTAGTTATGATTCGCACTACGCTGTTTAGACTAGCAATAGCGGATCAACTCCCTTTTCCTTTACGGCTGATTTGAATCGTAAACGTATCGTAAAGCGTCAACATATTTAAATAGGAAAGATTTCAGGTATTGTTCACTGTAACAAAAAAGACTACTTTTTGTTCAATGATTCCGTGGTTGTCACGAAAACTTTTCTTTCAACATACTAGAGGGTTCTTTCGATTAACAATTTTAAATACATTGTAAACTGACAAAAGTCAGTATTGCGTCGTAGAATATACTAAACGCCCCGCATCTCAGGAATCCGTCTTTTGACAAAGCAGTACAGAAATGGCGTCCTCCGTTTCCTTCCTGACTAAATCCTTCTTGTTGTTTGTTCGAGATATTTTGATCCTCAAAGGAATTGCCCAAGGAAGTGTAGGTGATATAGTTAAGCTGTTAAGAAATATTTAGTCTTCTACAAGCATTCAAACTGGCACGTGTGTTGGTGAAAACTCATTCCTTTTCTTTGATGTTACAAAAGACTTGTAAGCCACTTCCTGTCTCTAAATGGCGAACCTGTGCACGTTATTCTAAACACGCTGTCAACCAAAACCAAATGGGTTTCACTCTGTTTTCCTTTTTTTTTTCTTTTTTTTTTTCATTACATACTTGCAGTGCGATATGTTTCTACGTTGAGACTTTGTTGATTTGAAGTGTTTTTAAATTTTGTTGCGAAAAACAAGAACGGGCAACACTTTGGTCACCAAATCAGAGATACACACAGTCAGTGCAAGAGATCACGTCGTTTCTTTTCAGTAAATATAAATCAAATTTTGATTTCTATGTTTGTAACAGGTTTTTTGTCTGCCTCTAGTTTCTGTGAACATCTTTGGAGTTTTGATTACAGGGCGCCGGGTACGAATCGCTCAATGAGTCTTGCAACAAACTTTGCAAAGACGTGACTGGCCACCGACGCACATTATAAATTCACGCATACTTCTAAGATTTTTTATACTTATATATTTTAGGCTATTGCGATTCCCTGCTTTAGAGATGTGATTTAAATTTCAACGCCAACGCTTTCTATCAGCAAGCCACGGTCAGTCGGAGCTCTATTTGAAGTTCAAAGTTCTCTGAATCCGCGATGACGGAGACATCTTTCCGAACTCCACAGATAGACGCTTGATGACAGTGGGTTACTTCAATCAAAAAGACATAATTAAATCCAAACCTGTGAGTTACGGCGGGAGTATAAAATGCTTCTTTTAACATCGAGCCATCCATTTAACACAGCAAAGCAGCGAAGAAGAGGTTTCACGAGGAGTTTTTGCCAGTTTCTTTAAGCGTTATTTTCTGAGTGCGAAAGCATGACTTGCAAACTGCGCCAGTTATTCACGTTTATGACAGAGCATGCGTAGGCGAGTTGCACATAACTGTGGTTAAGGGAAAAGCCCCGCCTATTTTCCATAAAAATCGCTCCCAAACAGTTCAGTTTAGTTAAAACGAGTAAATAATTCTTAATACAAACTGTTAATTGACGGTTTTGTGAGAGTCGGCCAAGAAAATGATGCTTTCTGCATCAGCACGCGCATTTCATTGACCTCTCGACACCAGGCAAAACAGAAAAACACATGGAAAAAAAATGCGCGTTCTTTTGATAGGAATGAACCAGCCGGAAACGTGGGAAGCCATGATAAAAAAGCCATTTTTGTTCTGTTTCCTTTACGTTACCATGAATAGGTGAACAATAACAGTAAAATTAGCCAAAATCCAGGCCTAAAAAGCAGTAAACACTTGGCGGCTTTACAAGACTTTGGCCGACATGACGACCGGAAACAACAATCTTCAATCCGCGCGTATTGACTAAGAAGCAATATAGGGACTGATTTCAATAAGTGGAAATTTACAAACAATGACTGAAAATTAGTATAAACTGCAGGAAATTTCGTTGACCCGAACGTAAACAGGCCAGAGTTGTTTTTCGCTATATTTTCACAATAAAATGCTAAGGTCGACAATATGTAGACAGCGGTAACAGTTTGACACAAAACAACTACCGGAGGCGAGTCGCTTTATCACCGCCGTATAAAGATTGAAAAGCTAAAGTTTTTCTTACGTTAGCCCATGGTCAGAAAGGAGTTTGGTTCTGATAAAGTGGTTTACCCGTAAATTGAACAAAACTTTATAGTCAGGAGAAGAAGTGAACCGGCTTACTCTCGAACTCCCGAGGATGGCAAAACGTGAAAAACTCAAATCATTTTAGTCCTATTTTGGTTACTGAGTTCTTCTTGGTTTGTTTTCCAGTGCAAGGGACTGTGTATTTATCTTTTCTTTTTTTTCAGCATCCCAAATAAACTAATAAGCATGCCGGTTATGTTGCTTAGGGCTACAAGTTAATTTAGTGTCACGAAAGTTTTAAATCAAATTTTCGACTCTCGTGGGGCCGCTAGGAGTCGTTTCATCAACATAGTGATTCTCTTGTCGTTGCTTGAAAGAAGGTCTTCGTGATACAAAAATGTTCACCCTAAAATCTCTCTCTGTGAATCCTTCTCGACCACTTGACACCAAGATTCATCGTCATTTCTAACATTTCTGCTGCCGAGGGAAAGTCGAACTGCTCTTTCGCTTTCCGGTTTTGTCGTTATAAACTGCTAAAATCTTTTTTTTTTGTCACTGTAATGAAGCGTAAGCATCAAACATGAAGTATGAAAACTTAAAGTTCAAAAAACTCTCATATTGAGACTAGAGTCTTATAAAACAGCTCAGAACGTGTCTGT